GGGATTGCAAGTTAAAGTAACAAAAAGATCAGGTCTTCCGTAAGTTCGTACATAGGCGAATGCGTCTTGTGTACTCATGTAGGTAGCGGGGACTGTTAACGAATGATGAGGGCAGAATTACCATTTTACCTAAATCTCTGGGGTTTACATTGGCGTCGCTAGAAATTGCATCTTGTAAATGTATACAACGTGTCCCAAAATTCAACGATAAGCCAACACCGGAGGATAGACCTGCCCCGGACTAATCTGGGAAAAAAGAAAAAAATATATCCAAATTATATTTTAAGTTGTATAAAAAAATGAAATTCTTCAGAAATTGAGACCGTTTATGATATTTTTCACTACCATGACCACAATTTTTTTAATATTTGTTTCTTTTTTTTTATAGGCAACCTTAGTAGCACTGCTATCTACCACAATTCTTAAAAATCCAGAATAACTCTTGTTCTATCACGAAAATTAATGAAACTTATTTTATTCCCTAATTTGAAGACTTTTACTTTTAACCAACTTTAACTTATCGTGGTGTAAAAAAAGTATGAACACTAGTATGGCAAGTTTTTTTAAAAATTGACGCAACTAACCAACATTCCAAAATGGTATAATCATTGATTTATATGTTACACACATTATGTGTTGTATAACTCAATGGGTATAATACTCTAGGAAAACAAGTTATAAAAAATATGGGTCTATTATTTCTTAACAGGGGCCAAATTCCTTAAATTGTAATTGTCAGTAATCACTTTTACTACATGCCCAAAATGGGTTCTTGTTACAATTTCTAGGAATTTTAATGGGGCATACATACCCTAGATGTTAGAGAAAGATAGATAGATAGAGATATTTACGTTAAAAAGAGACAACAACAGGGCAGGTAGAGAAGCTGTTATTATTGGACTGGAATCGACCTGCAAACTTAACATCCTCGCATCGCATATATAAGAAATTTAAAGGAAAAAATTAAAAGATTAAAATTAATATTCCCTCAAGTGAAAAGATAACACAGAAAAATGAATATTAATACTTAAATATAATAGATGAGTATGTAATAAATGTGTTGTGTAAAAAACTTTTCAGTAAAAGTAGAGGGAATAACCGGAAACTAACTTTAATCACTTTGTGAATTTAACGTAGGCAACGATTTGCTTACGACGCGTGACCTTGGTAGCTAACGCGTATCTATCTGTGAGGCCCGCCGCGGGGAACCTACGGCCGCCTGACCCGACGGTGGCCGACCTAACCTACCCTAAATGGAGGAAGTTACGGTCGCAAACCGCCTGGCACGCAAAATGATCGTTAAATAATCCCGTATAGAATGGATGCGGCGCGAACGGAATTATCCACCGGCGAAGCACTGTAATATACTATAAAGAATATAGGGCAGTATTGAATTCCGAGTTAATCGAATAAGTAACATTATCGAAATTGAACGTAGCGAACCCTTCATTTTTAGTTTCAAATTAATTTTAATTTAAAAACTGAATCGCTCGGCTAATTGTTTGCATTTGCATTTTTGCTGTATTATATATATAATAGGGCGGAGCACGGTTGTAAATTTTTTTTTCATGTAGGTATTAAATTCTAATAGTTTAAATTCAATTTACGTGTTTTTTCAGCTCGATTTAATAACATCTGCCTCCGCTGGGGCCTCAAAGTTTAATGTTGTACCGAAAAAATTAAGTATGTTTGGGCTAATAACTTATAATACTTAGCAATGTAATTAAAAAAAAAAAGTGAAACAAAATTCAAATCGTCAATTTGCCTTAAAATCTCTCTTCGTCTCGAATTTTGACTTGTTCTTACGGGATTCCCATTTGTATTATGGCCCGTAGTCGTTATGAATCGAAATGGCCGCTTCTGTCGTCTACTTAAGGGGAAATATAACCTCAAACGGCTTAGCAAGATCCTCCGTTATGCCGAAAGTATTGCAGCATTAATTTTGAAATAAATATATGGTAAAGTTGAGGATTAATGTTAAGGTTTATGTTAGACGAAAACACGATTCCGTAAAATTTTCTCGATAGAAAAAAAATCCAAAGTTACCTCCAAACTGAACAATAAACCGCTGTTATTCATAAAATACTTTAAATAAGATCATGAAACTTTGCATACTAACTGAACTAACTATAAAGCAGTGCTTATGTTATTTACTTTTTTTAAAATACTATTATTTTCACTGTAAAAAGAAATTACCCAAACTATCGGCCTTTTGAAGCGTGATTCCTGCCGCACGGTCACTTCGCTTCGGCCTTTGATCGGGGAGGTTGTGCGCCTAAGATCATAATATACATTACGCAACAGGACGACGTAAAATTAAAATGGGAAATAACCGTAATAAAAATAAGAAGCGACTGGCTTGGCGTTAAGAAACAGGCATAAATATGATAAACCTAATGAAATAAGTGTCTAACGACCTTTCTACTTACAGTATTAGTGATTACAAACATGTCGGTACATAGCATACGACGCGCGGGCAAGTGGGGACGAAATTAGAATTTGAGCTGACTTACTCTATCCCCTTAACAGTTCGCTCAACAACCTGGATATGACATGGGAGACATAAAAATAAAAGTTCAACCTCACCACCAGATTGGAATATTTACTGAATTTATTGGTTACCTAAGTGTTTCAAGATCGGCGATTCAGTAATGGTGTGTTGCCAATGTATCTATCATATAAATGTAAGTAGTTGTGCTGAAATTATTACTAGCCATCTCGAATAGCCTTGGTGTAGGGGATTGCGAAATACTGCGTGCTTTTAAAATAAGCCGCGCTACCAATTCACGAATGTGCTTTTTATTATCTGTAATCATTACAAGTAGTAAATTCTCAGGATGTGCCAAATAGCTATTGCGTTGAATGACGGGGTCGATCACTTCTTTCAAGGATTCTGGCAGATACATGGAGGCTAATATAATTTAAAATAGATGTTGGGCTCCATCTTTACAAATACACAAATATAGCGAATCTTCATTCTTTTACATGTATTTTACCTGGAGACCTGTTTGCTATATCTTCTGTAAAAGAACTTGATTGTACAATAGAGACGATCTCGTGCAAATACTTTGATCTGTACTCAAATCGGGGCCAATTCTGGGGGTGATTCTGCTTCAATGGGTTGGAATTTTTTAATCGTCATTTATTCACAAGTTTCCAGTATCTTTTCCAACTGACCAGTGTAAGATATGGGTCTCGAACTTGAGTCTCGAAGTCCTTCCGTCAATATATAAAACAAATATGCCTTAATAGCAGCTCGTTCATATGCAGCAAACAAATAATCCGTTGGAGGGACCTTAGTATACTTTTTTCAAGGAGTCGTATAATACCACCGTACTTTCCAGAACTTACATTAGTCCCATCACAACATATTGCCACAAGATGTTCTAGGGAAATGCCTTCCTTGGCCAAGAACACTGTGATTCTACTGCCTTAGCCGAACCAGTGCTAGGTACTTCATAACCTATGTAGATAGAACCCGATTCCTGAATTATGGAAATGTGGTTTTCAACAGTCATTGTTCTGTAATGTTTATTATTTTTTATCATTTTTAAAGTTTTGTCTTTCTTGCCATCAAAATACAAACCAGAAAGCTTCATATTTGTGTCGTCCTTTATTACTTTCTGACAATTTTTCGATCTCTCGCGTCGTCATCGTCTGTCAATGACCTCGTCATCAGATATAATATCGTACAAAACAGATGACACATACAAACTAGATGCTGCTACTGCCCCTATCTGAGACTCCATATCTGTCACACGTATTCGCTAAGGTAAATACAAATTTTTCTTCTTCTTGTCAGAAACTCCTTTAGTTGTGGTAGCTGCAAAATCATCTGTACTATAGCTCTGCTCGGATGGCAACGATAACATAGCAACATCTATTTGAGGTTGAATTAATTTTAGAGGATGTATCCGACCAATTTTCTCGGTCTAGTTTCCTCTGTAGGGTCTTTTGTAGCTTCTTAGTAGTAGTAACGTCGACTCTGCCTGTTATCATTTTGCTAGAAGTTCACTGATCCATTGAAAATGAATGTTCTCGTCTGGTAACCTTTTTAACGGTCGGGCAGGTGCAATTTGTGAATTCCTTGCAATTGCATGCTGAAATATCAAACAGTCGCTTACTATTTTCTCGATAATTATCCAATTTTTCTGAAGAGAGCTTCTTAATAGACTTGGGTAAATTTTTACATTTTAAGTGGTAGGTTTTAAACATTACTATAACTAGTATAGACGCAGATGATATATGTTACTAGAAATCAGTTTTAAATAAATATTGATGAAAATAAATATTAATATTTCATCACCATCATCATCTTTGGAATGCCTAGAAATGCCACAAACCACGGTCCATCTAGTCGAGAGGTGCTCCACCCCCACCCCACCTAACACTCCCTATGTTTAAAAGATCTACGTTGAATATGTAATGTAAATTGTAAATGTGCCGTATTCGTCCACGAATAACTCGGCACGTTGCTCGTGCCGATAATTTAAACGTACCATTAGAAGTCTCTCAGGCATAAATTAAAAGAGGAGCCTCTGGGTCATTACTCATTATTTTGGCCCATTAGTGGCTTGGATAATTTCTACACACGAACAAATATTATCGTAATTTGTAATGTATTTATTTTTATACAAGACCATTTTGCAGGTGTGACATTAGTAAAATAAAATTCCAGTAATAATTATAAACATACATTTATTGATAAATGCCTTATTCGTTTATTGAAAACAAAATTATCTAGGATTTTGTGCTGTATAGTACAATTAATATAATACTTTATTTTGTATAACACTTTAACTTTAAGCGCATTATGTTCTTAAAAGTACATTGCATAGTACGCTTTACCGCGGTTAACAATGACTTCGGGACGTCGAACATCTCAGTCACCCTCGTAACGATGGGTGCTGTAAAGTGCTTGAAACGTCGCGAATATAAAGAAGTTAATATACGCGATAAAATCTGTAAAAACTAGTTTTATTTGAATGACATATTATTACTTAGAAATCGTACGTAGATGTGGGCACGTTGGCGCAGAACTCCTTTACTTTGGGCAGGGTAACGACGGTCTCCTTGAGTTTCTTGAAGCTTGGGTACTTCTCGTCAAGGTCGGACATTTGAAGCATCTTTTTTAAGTAGTCGTACACACCGGCAAAGACAAAATCGGCCCATGTAAGCTGTAACAGTAATTACTTAGTTCAGTATCAACATAGGCATTATGGAGGTTATGTTGTAACTGACTCCTTATCTTTAACAATGCATAGTAAGTCTCCTACAATAATAATGCCCTCCAATTAAATCGAATCCAAATCAAATTTCGTTCACGGCGGCCACTCACAATGGAGAGTCATCCGTGCAAGACAGGATTATAGTGCGCGAGCACACTATTCTCAATCTGTAGGCATAGGAACATCGGCTTTTACGTGATTTCCGAGTCACGGGCGTGAAATACCGCTAATTTCTCGGCTTCAGGCAGCTAATGAGAATTTCTTGGCAGAAAACCCAAATAGTAAATTTTTGGGACCGACTCGGAATGCAGAAATGGGAACACATGATCAGCAGCCGCAATGACGATCACTAGACCAAAGAGGAAGTCAACGAAAAGAAGTTATAGTTATTTCCTGAATTTGTGTGTATACTAAAGGCACTATAGCATTTCCTGTACAGTTAGTTTCAGAGAGTGGTAGTTGTGGCTATAAGAAAAAAATTATCATCATCAAAATAAAAATAAAATATTTTTAGTTGTGCAATTTATGTGTAACCCTATCCATGTAGAGAAAAAAAATCCTGCTTGGGGGTAAAGTTATTAAAATGGTTGGTCCTTCGAGCAGAAGCCAAAGTAAAAGGTGATAGTAGCTGTGTGTGACACTTTCTATTTTACTATTCTTTCTATTATACTGTTCCAAGAGTTAATGCACCTCAGTCTTTTTACAGGATAGGGTGACAAACGAGCACACAGTCCACCTGATGGTAAGTGGTTGCTGTGTCCCATAGACATATACATCTATCCTCGATTACGAATCAAAATGCAGATGCGTTTTCACACGTGAGGACTAAGATGGAATGCCTTGTTTCCAGTAAAAAGGGTCTCCGGTTCTCTATACGACTACAAAAAGAAGCGAGCAATAATTAGGAACTATAATTAGCTCCCTTTTGACCATTTATTATTTGATTGATCGATGAAGAGCTATCGTATCACAGAACCATCTATGTAAACAAGGCATTAACCGGATGACCATATTACCCTCACGTACTATGGGTAAAAATATTAAAATGATACATTAAAATTACACCAAGCGCTAATAATTTGGTAACAACGGTACTTTAAATTTATTAGTATGTTAACCCTTAATACACTTAAGTTTCGATTTTGACATAAATACATTAATTGATTAGTTCTGATATACGACTTTTCGACACTTTACTTACAGCCTATATACGTCCCATTGCTGAGCACAGGCCTCTCACTTCTGAGAGCGATTTAGGGCAAGGAAGTGTCTGCGGCGCTACCCCAATGCATGTTGGCGGACTTCACGTCTTCAAAATATATTTCTTTTATTTCTCAGACATGCAGGTTTCCTTGCGATGTTTTTCTTCACCATAGAGCTTGTGGTAAATCAGCACTTAAAATTTTAACTAACAGTTCCATTGTTGCCGGTGGGGATAGAACCCGGGTAGCACGCGTACTGTGAAATTTATAGCGAGCGCTAACACACTGAGCTACCACGGCATTGATGACATTATAATAGAGTTTTTTGATTTACTTAATCATAAACTCTATTATAATGTCTTTAAAAAATAAATTAAATTGCTAATTAATATTGAATGATATATTCTATTCAATTCTAAAGAAAGCTAAATCCTATAGATTTTTGTTCGTCTCTTCTTTTTTTTCTTTCAACGAGTTTTAAATTACAATGATCCTAAAGAAATGTTCTCTTCAATAACCCGATTTTTCTAATATACGTCAGTAAAACAGTTACGTAAGAACCCAACATTTACAAGGATCTGTAAGTTCAGCAGTTAGAAACAGCCTAACAATAACAAAGACAACTTATAATAGATGCAGTCCCCAGTCAAGATAGCTGCAGGATTGCTAATGAAGCAGTTATAAATTACAAAAACGAAATTCAATTGATTAATAGAATAATTACCTTTCCAAGAGCAAGATGGCCGTTGTTCTGTTCAATTATTTCATTCAATTTCTTTAATACAGTGGGGTATAGATTCTTAGAGAATTCCTCATGTTTCTTAGCTTTGACTGTCGGATCCTTCTCGTAGTGGACCACGGCAGCGTCTGGAAATAAAGCGACGAGTTAACCCCCCCTGAACACAGTGTACAACCACTTTTTTGTTATATTTATTATGTTGTGACTTAATACAGGGTTACTATATTTCTTCATCATAATTAATGCAACAAAAAAAATTATGAGCCGAAATGAGGTATACAAATTAATTTCCCATATTTATTTTAAAAAAGAAATGGTTTCATCAGTAAAGTTACTAGAAATCAATGATGTGACTCAGACCGTTTGTGTCTAAGTAGTTGAAGCAGTGTTGTTTTCAAAAAACCAATCATTAGACGTATCTCCATTTAAAGGTTGTCTATCGAAATTTTGAGGGCTCTTTAGCCCATTACATTGCTTTACTACGTATCAGAATATGTCACCTACTTGCCCAACACCGGCCTATACAATTTAGACTGGAGCACAGTAGTGCAGGCACCCCTAATTGCCAACAGAAATAGGTACGAGCGTGGTACCTTCCCAGACGCACACATAGCCAGAAGAGTCCTACCACCTAGTTGGGAATAGATATATAACTAATATTCACTCGCTTTAGCAGTATTTTCAAAACAAAAAACTACTAAAACTCTAATTCTCACTTGTTGAATTCTAACGAGAATGCATCCACGCCTATTTATCAATTCTTACACCTTACTTTATCTACTCATGTCGATATAATTATAAGACCAATATAGAATAAAACTACACTAGACACAGCATCAATAAAAAAGAATGACCCAAGTTAATCATCCTAGATAACGCTTGTGTGATAAGAGATGAGATAAAATGGAAACAAAAAGCCAAATAAAACTATTAGATTAATATCAGGTGTCCCGTTATCAATAAATTCTTGATTGATTTCAAGTACATATTCTATACTGGGGATATATTTATTTCAAAAAAATATATCCCCAGTATCGATATAAATGACAAGATATGGTCGAGTGAGTAAATATTTTCACGGTTTAAGCATAAAATAAATCAGCGCCATCGCTTAAATACTAATGAACTACCGCGGAACCAGTTTTTTCACTCAAGATTTTGGTTTTATTCTAGAACCTGTAGAAATACTCCCTAAATTATCGTAAAGAAATCTAAATAGCACCTTATTTTGAATATTTTAAAAAACAACATCGTTGCAAATTCTGAATATCATTTCACAGTCAAAACTCTTGAATTTTGTGATAAAGAAGACGTTCTCATTTTCAAATTATAATAACACTTAGTCTCATAGCAATAATGAATATATAACTAAGTAAAATATTGTACCAGTATTCCGATATTATACAGAATGAAAAACTTTTTTATTCTACACTTTTCTAGCCGTTTTGACCGTATCCCCTTCTTATAAGTCTTTAAAAAAAATTACATTGGGTGCGTATAGAAAACAGGGTTACCGGCTATGTAGGCTATGTAGCAATTTGTTAATTCCCTTACTATAGAAATTTGCTTTACGAAAATCGATGAACTCTTTAAATGAGTTGTGAGAAACTATTTGCGTAGCCCAGAAGTAGTGAAAATACTCACAGCTAAGCAACTCCTTCATTTTATTCATAACTAATTGACCCGCCAGCAACTTCGTTCGGGTGGGCAAATACAGAATATAATTTTATTCTTTTATCAAAAATTCTTTTACCAAGAAAAGTTACCCTATTCCTGAGCAAGTCCAATGTGTTGAGTGTAAACAATTGCTGTAAAAAGATGTAAAAAATTGCCAGTAAAATTTAATTTTATAGGCAATTTTTTGCATCTTGGGTTACAATAATTATTGGTGTTCAATTAGTTAAATTATTATGGGATCCCTAACTTTTCTTTAATAGAATAAAGCCTTAGTTACTTACTACATTATCGTAGCTTTATATGCGTAAAATTATATTTTAAATCAGATAAGTAGTTTATCCATTTAGTAGTAGTAGTAGAGTTTATCCATTACAATCAAAAACAAATATTTTCTCTAATAGATGTTAAAGTATTCCTTATCCTTCCTTCTTTCCTTCCATGGCTTCCTTCCTTATATGGCTTAGCAAAGAACTATAGCCGTAGGAGTGATTTCAATAGGTCATACTGGTTACAGTGATAATGCCTTACAGACCTGCGTAGCTGCTCACATAAAAAATGCACTTACTAGCTCTGATATCGCTGAAGAAGTCGACGTTCTGATCTATGATCAGGTCCTCTTCGATGTTGGATCCAGCGAGTCCGTACTTGTGACCAAGGTAGCGACAGATGGCGTTACTTTGCGCGTACTGCTTGCCGTCGATCTCCAGTAGGGGCAATTCAGCAAACGGGGTTTCTGTATATAAAAACTCTTGTTAAAATGAATATAATAATGAAAATTGATAGATCGGGAGATCTGAGTCTGTAGGTAACTTAAAATGACAGAAACCTTAACTGTTGGATGATGAGCTAATGCAGTCTTTTTTATATAAATAAAAGTGACAAAGCTTTGGCCCATATACCACATCTATCCACAGTTCAGAATCAAAATATAGATGGATTGTCAACTTTGAGGACTAATATGAACATCGTTGTTAGCAGTAAAACGGGTTCTCTTTTAATTGGTCACAGAATAACTCTAAACTGGCAAAGTAGCTACATTATTAAAGTCAATGTTGAACTGTATGAAAACTTTTGCTTCGGACTTTGGGGTATAAATTACGAGAAAACTTGGCATATCTTGCTAAATGCTGCCCTGTAAATTTCAGATCATTCATATGTCCAGATCATGAGGGTAGCTGAATTTAAAAAATCCATTACATTCACAAATACATACATAAGGAGGTAAAGTTGCTAGGTGTTTTCATGCATATATATAGAAGATATCCCGGATGTCTCCGGGCGAGGACGGAATTACAGCAGAGCTTCTGAAAGCGGGTGGAACACCGGGACTCTGATTCCATCCTCTATGATGGCACTACTCCGAGGGAATGCAGCAGAAGTGCGGTGGTCTTGTTCTTCAAGAAAGGTGACATCACTCTATTAAAGAACTACAGACCGATTGCCCTTCTAAGCCGCATCTACGTGCTATTTTAGAGAGTCATTACTAATCGTGTCGCACGCAGACTCGACGACTTCCAGCCTCCTGGACAAGCCGGTTTCCGGAAAGGCTTTAGCACCATAGACCACATACATACCCATCTGCCACTTTGTCTGGCGTATGTGGACTATGAGGAAGCCTTTGATTTCGCCGAGATTTGGACAGTGCTGCAAACCCTTCAGGGGTGCCAAGTTGACTGCCGGTATATAGAAGTGCTGAAATGTTTGTATAGTAGTATTACGATGGCTATTTGAGTACACAACCACAGTACGAAACCTATACAAATACGGAGAGGTGTAAGACAGGATGACGTAAATATCCCCGAAATTCTTTACCGCTGCATTGGAAGACATTTTCAAGCTACTGAACTAAAAAGGATACGGTACTAACGTCAATGGCGAGAGCAGAATCGCTGAAGAACCTAAGCACTGTGCTCAATGACCTCAATAGTGTCTCCCAACGAATAGGTCTAAAGATCAACATGGACAATACATAAGTCACGTGTAACGTTCATGTCACACCTATGCCGGTAGTTGTTGGGAGCAATAAACTCGAAGTTGTTGACGAGTATGTTTATCTGGCACAAAATAGTCCTACTAGTTAAGTCCAACTTCGGCTGGGAAGTCAATCGACTAGGCAGCGTTCGGGAAATTACGACACATCTTCTCGTCAGGCATATATCAAAATCTCAAAGCTAGATTGTCTAACCCTTGCAAGTTGCCAGTGATGACATATGTATCTGAGACGTAGTCCCTCACTGCTGGCCGTATGAGGAAGCTCAAAGTCGCTCAGCGAGCTATGGAGAGAACTATGCTCAGAGCATGAACGAATTAACCACTGGACCCGACATAGAACACAAATGTATGAAAACTCGTTCAACCAAGTGGAGAATAACGCACGCAAAGATTTTATTACGTTAATAATATAAACACAGATACGAAATTCGTAGAAGTTCACTCTATTTCTAGTGCTTGAACGTAGTCGATAAAATATATCGATGAACGACTGAAAAAGAAAAGGTTTATCATAAATAAGCTGTAAGACAAAGGAAATAAAGGGATAATAAAGGTGAGGTAAGCTTCCGGTATTCAAATTTTAGTTAAAATAAAAGAAGCAGGACATTGTTATGGACTCAAATTTTTTGTTAAGTTTAAATTATTTAAATACGTTTACTGACTTTTATTACGTATCATTTTTCTTAAAATGTGTTTCTTAGAATTTGTTTTGTTTGCTTGTTTTCTTATATAAGCAATTCTAGTATTTATATACTTTTCAGCAACGGCTTTCGTTAATCTTTCGACGTGATTCACGTCGTCGTTTTCAAATTTATGGAAATGAATGTCTTCGTACAACGGAAGTTGCAACAATGTTTCTGTTACTTTCGGCAGGAGAAAGTCTGTTGTGTAATCTTTTTTTAGTCTTTTATTCTGAACACCCTTCGTAAGTTTGAGTTCGCAGTGCTGACAAGTAGCTATGGTATCACTTGAGGGAAGTATCGGTTTTCTCTTGTTTTTATGGGCAATGAGACTGCCTTCATTGGTGTCATTTTGTGTTTCTTTGCATTAGTATTAAAACAGGCAGTATCGAAATGTAAACTGCATATGGCGCTGTGTTTCGTCGGAATCCAGGTTTCATCTCTACAAACCGCTTCTACCCACTTTCTTTTCCGAGAAGGGTTCACTAGGAAATCTGAAAATTCGTGTAATTTATGCGTTTAAATATTTTAAATACAAATACTAATTATATTTTTTGCATTTATTACATTTTTATTTAATTATAAAATTACTATTATAAATTTAATGACATCAGATTGTAGGATACTGTTATATAAATATTTTTAAGTGTTATTGTATTGTACAATTAACATCATCATTCATTCGGTCATATCGTCAAATATCGATATATTTTTCGACATGATCAAGCATTAGTCGATGTCAAATTGACTCACTCTACCGTTTTAGTCATTCTTTCTGAATGGTATAATCCAGCCATTTTATGATGGTTGTCAGATGTCAACAATACATAGAAATATCGACTATATTTAACATAGTTTGATAATACTCAATTTAATTTTACATTTGATTAAATTTTCTGATAAATAACAATAATTGTAATAAAATAATGTACTTACAAGTGAAAAGAAATAGTGCTGCTTCCGCCGCTATAGTTTTTATACAATTTAACTGAACATTTAGTCATTTTTGGGAGATGTTTTGTTGACAAGTAAGTGCTTGAGACTGACACAAAAATAAAAGACCAAGGCTAAAATTTCCTGGTTACCGACAAGACCGATATAGGTAAGTCCTCTTATATGTCGGGTCCAGTGGTTAATTCGTTCAAGGCTCAGACTCAGAGTTTCTCTGCATAATAGGCTTAAAGCAAGAATATCCGCAGTAGAACCAGAGTAACCGACATAGCCAAACGGATTAGAAAGCTGAAGTAGCACTGGGCCGGCCATATATCTCGAAAAACCGACAACCGATCGGGAAGAAAGGTTCTCGAATGGCAGCCTTGTACCGATAGCCGAAGTGTAGGGTGTCCCCCTACTAGATGGAGTGACGACCTGGTAAAACATGCAGGAAGTCAGTGGATGCAGGTAGCTCGGGACCGTGCTATGCGGCGTTCTTTGGGGAGGCCTATGTTCAGCAGTGGACTTGTGAAGGGCTGTGATGATGATGATGATGATGTCTGTAGTATATGCTACACAAATGATAGCTTACATATGTTGGCGAAGTAATCGAAATCACATTGGAGATTATTGAGAAATAAATAACAAATATTTTAATTATAAACAAAAGTAATAAAATGCTTCCATAATCATAAATGATATCTAAATTTCCCCATTTACGTTTACAAAATTTAAATCAAGTTCTTTCTACAAAATTATCTATAATCGTTTTTTAAATATTATTCACCTGTATGCTTTGAACAGTGATAAGATAATTTGGAAAACTCATGCTTAACAGTGATAAAATATTGTGTCACTAAATTTAACATTTAGTTTAAATTAAATCCATTTTTATAAAAAACTGCTTAAATAAAGCTGTAAAAAATAACATAAAGGTAAATTAATAAACAAAAATCATTTAACTCACATATTAATACAGAACCTTAAATATATTTTTATTCCGTAATTTTAGGTTAAATATACCATGCAGATTGGCAAGTAATAAAAATGGTGAATGGAATATTTCTGTGTATTACGAGTATCTGTTCAGTATTAGACTTAAAACAAAGTGTGAGGATAACGTCAAAGCTGATGCCATCACACCCCACGCCATAGTCGAGAATCGATCATTTGATCATCAAAAGTTCATGATAGAACTTTAAAATAGTATAACCAAATTCAAAAAACTTATTTACTAAGGTTTCTGGGTAGATATCCTATTTCTACGATAGTCAGTGACTGCACTGTTGTATTTTTTGTGCGAAGTTGGTTGCAATGTTTATGGGCTACAGTAGGCGCTAACCATCATATGGACTGTTAGTGTGTTTGTCCGTAGTTGTCTAAGATGTTAATGCCTCATCATTATCATCATTACAACTGAACGGGCCTCTTCCAAGGAATACCACAAAGCATGGTCCTGATCGACCTGCATCCATCGACATCTTACCAGGCCGTCACTCAATCTAATGAGTCTAATGGGGAGTCGCTCGTTCGCTGTAGGCCACTTCACCTTACCAAATCTGTTAGGCTATGTTGGTCACTCTGGTTCTACTGTGGATATCCTCATTTCTAAGTCTATCACGCTGAGAAACTGCGATCATTTTCCTCTCCATAACTCGCTGAGCGACCTTGAGCTTCCTCATATAGCTAGCAGTGAAGGGTTACGTGTCAAATCCAAAAGTCATCACTGACAACACGCACTAGTTGTACAATGTTAATGCCTCACAGCCTATAATTATACTAATTGGTACCTACCGAAACAGATTATTAGGCAAAAAAGGAATTCAATCACCTATTAAAATATAAAACAACTCAAATATTATAATGACTATTAATGTATTAATATAATAGAAAGAAGATAAGATCTAAGCAAGTGGCAGGATTGCCAGTGACTCGAGTTGGCTCCTTTATAATTTGAATAAAATTATATTCTAGCATGAAATTTTACAAAAAGTTTGATTGTTCTGATTCTTCTAAAGTATTCACGTTAAAGTCATCTCCAATTATAATTCGTTTTTATCATGTTTTCTATTTAAATATTCTAATAACATTTTCAATTGCGTGTAGAAAACTTCGCTCTCTCTATTATTTCAGTACAGACTAGCAATAATAATTATTTAATTTGGTGATTTCCACAGCACAAAGTTCTACTACATACTCAATTAAGAAGCTGCTTACATCTTTTAGTTCTATGTATTCTAAATCATTTTTTGTATGATGCGCACACCTCCTGTGTAGGTTTTTCCCCAAAAATAAGTTGGTACATGATAGTTTTGAAATACAACTAATTCTAGTTTATAATTAGACAGCCACGATTCCGAAATACAAATTGCGTTTGGTATTTGGTTCTAAATAGTTTTCCAGAAGAATAATAAGATACAGACATCGACCTCCTGCTGACAGACAGACGTGGATCTGACAAATAAGACTTGCAGAGTTAGTGATGAGGTGCATTATTATTTGTATGTGACTGTACCAACTTTTAAAAAGGCTTTATCTGAAAGCAGACTGTAAAAGAGGCTAAAGCACTACGTGTACAGCCTATCAAAAGTCCACTGCTGGGACACAGGCCTCCCTCATAAATTTCCTCATAGGGATCCTCCATCTGCCATTTTATTAATAATTAATTTAATACGTGGTAGAGCCATGCTGCAGTTATATTAGTAATATAGTTGTAGCGCGAATGGGTCGGCTCGACTGGGAAGGACCACGCTCTCACAGAATACCAGCGTGAAATAGTAGCTTAATTCTGCTGTATTTCGTATGGTGAGTGTAGAGAACCGGAGACCCTTTTTACTGAAAACGAGGCATTCTATCTTAATCCTCACGGGTGACAACGCATCTGCATTTTGATTCGTAATCGAGGATAGATGTAGATGTCTATGGGCCACAGCAACCACTTACCATCAGGTGGACTGTATGCTCGTTTGTCACCCTATCCTATAAAAAAAATAGTAACATAAAATAGTTATAAATCATAATGGCCTGTTTATTGAAAGCACATAAAAATCTTCACATTTTAATACTCACTTGGCTTCATTTCTTCCCATTCTTCCATACTAACACGTATATCTTCAAACTCTTCACCCGCATAAGCTAGTAGCAAACGGCATGATTCACCGAGAGCTTTAAGGTTGAAGTAGTAGAACTTGATTTTCGGCATTTTCCTGTATAAAAAATGTTTCTTTTTAATGTATAAGACTGAGGTCTTTTAACATAAAAGTGATTTAGCGCAGCCTACGCATAACTATTATTCTGAACACCTTTCTCTATTTTTTACGTTATTAACTATATTCATGATTTTAACATTTCTACCAGCAATATTACTGAGAAACACAGTCTCAATTTTGATGCAATAAGTTTAAAGAACAGTAGATAAAGAGATATACAATAAAATTCAATAGGCAACAATCTAACTAAAACCCAAGACTTTTCAATATTGCCACTGTAGCAAACTATCATCACCTAAACTGTTTATGGTTCCCTTTAGGTCCAGTACCTTTGGTATAGGGATTAAAAATGTAATGTAATGGTTTTTTATCGTTTTAAAAATGTAATTTTTTTACACAGGTTTATATTTTATATTCTTTCATTTACTCTAGTATTTTATAGTAGTTTTGCCCGCGACTTCGTTCACGCAGAACTTTAACTAAAACCCGCAGTTATATAATAATAGTAGGGTCGATGCGCCGGTAAGCCGGCCGGGTCTAGATTTCGGCCTTTAGCACGAGGTGATGCAGTAAATTTGATTTAATAACAATTTTAGTAAATATTATCGTACGAAATAAAGTTTAATGCATTTGTAAATAGTTGCACTATATCTGGTAACATTAATTAATCAGGTAAACACAACACGCGATTTATAATAAATAGTTTAGTTCGACGCCGGCACAGAAGCTGTCAAAATGGGTAATATCGAGCAAAAAAAAATAGTGGCGCGCGTTCCATTCAAAAGTAAGTTTCGTGCTGTATTTAATACAATTACTTAATATTGTGCTTATATTTCACTGTATAAATAACCTTAGAAAGTTATTTGACACTGATTATTATAATACTTTATTGATAAAGTTAATAAATTAAGTGGCCGAAAAGTGACACATAAAATGGTCCCATTATTTGGTTGCGGCCGAATGCGGCCGAAAAGTAGCCTGAGTTTAGCCTAAATACTTTTTCTCTTTCGTTTATTTGGTTACGAACTATAATTCATCTTTCTTACTTATATTGAATCGTAGCGTGCGTAGACACTAACTTTCAGTTTTCGGCCACTAATTACTGCAATTTGAACAGTTAGTGACGAAACAAAAATACCCATTTCAGTCGTGGCCGAAAACTGGATTGACTCTATAAAATATTTATTTAGTTTTCAGCCAACATAAAATTGTATGAAAGAATACGGCGGCGGAAAATAGAATGCTGTCTGAGTTTACGTTTACGTCCATTTCATCAAATATTTTATTCACATTGGGTTTTAGGAAGAAGATTCAACAAGAAATTTTTTTCTTCAGATGGCTCCTCCAAAGAAATATAATAAGTAAATGGCTTCAGAAAATGCGGACTTTATTAAATAGATCTTAATGCAGTGGATTACTCAAATTGAGTCCAGTAAACCCTGGAAAAACTAATCGGTGATAATTGAAAAAAAGAATAAATATTTCTAAAGAAATAACTGACGCAAACCTAGTTTCCACTAGAAAAGTTTAGAAACATTTTAAATCAACTTTGGCAGAAATAAAAAACATAAAAGTTGCTATTATAGTGAATGAGATAAGTAAATTGAAACGAAAGTCTTCTCAGATCAATATTGTTCCACACAGACAGGCCAACGAAGACTCGGAAATTCTCCAATTAAGCAATATAAGACCGCTAAGTCCATTTAAGTCTCCAGAAAGTCTGCAATACCTACAGATCAAGACAAAAATATTCTAACTCACGATGTTGTGGTAACTACTTATTCATCTACCGATGCATCAGAATCGTTAATCGATAACAAAATTTCAACATTGCATTTGTCAGGAAGTTATTTGGATATTGGTTCCTAAGTATCGTTATATGATGTTCTTGTAATTCAAACTCAAATAAGCCTACCAACGACAACAATACTGACAATGCCTGAAATGATAATAGATTTCAGTAATGAAACAATAACGACTCAAATGACTATGATGATACCACTACAAACACCGACGATAGCAAACAAGATCTCTGAAACTTTAGAAAATGTGTGGGTTGATATTCCAACTAAACAGACTAGTACACCTCTACAAAGTAGTGGAACATTGGTTTCAGTACTATTAAATAAAGAATATAGAGATGCAATAGAAAACATTTAATTAAATCGTAACCCGTAAAAAAAATTAACTGCTTACAGTACACGTGTACCTTCTTCTGCAGCAATTTCATCTGCGGTGTGGCGAAAATTTTATGTAGATAAGTGAAAGTTAAAATAGAGAAGTAAGAACTAAAATATTTTGAAGAAGAAAAAAATAGAAAAAGAAAAATTAAAGAGTGCTAAAGTTTAAATACGAAAAATAGCTAAGTCCAAGAAATCTATGAAGGAGAAAAGGGTAAGAGTAAATTGCGCTTTGTGTCATAATATTTTAATAAACGATACAGAAGAAGATCTGGAAAAAAATATTGGATGTGATATGAAAAAATCAATTAAAATTAAACGCGATAAAATCCGTAAAAGTAGTTTTAATCAATGTGTAGTGTTCGCGTAAATATAAGAAATCATTATATTGGATGTGACTTTTGCACCAAATGGATTTGAGATGTACTGATGGTTAGAGATGGTAACAGATTTTGTTGAACAAAAATACTTATGAGGAAGTACAAAATACTCGTAAATGAGAAGATTCGATTGATTTGCTATATTTAAAATATTTTATTATTAGATTATGATTCAAAGAAAAATGATTAATCATGGTTATTATTTTATATCAAAACCGCCCCAAAAATGAAAAAATAACGTTACGGTTAAAAAATCGCAAGCACCGATTGAAAAAACTAAATACACCGATTTCCCAAACTGTTTGCCATATTCTGATTTTACAAAAACACTTTGACGTTTGTACTACCTCTTCTAATACAGTGGCCGAAAACTAAAATTCTTATGGGCCGAAATCTAAAATTTGGGGCCGAAAACTAGCGTTTTGCATATATTTCACATCAAATAGTATTTTAAAATACAGATTTCTTTTGTAGCATCAATGAGTTATAAAAATGAAAACTACATTATATAAGCTACAAATTAACATTAATAGCACTAGGTCAACATGATGGCTATTATTTTTTATTGTACCTTAAAATTATGTATAATTATGTATATGTATATGTACCTTAAAGTTGACAACTCCACTAAAAGGCCGAAAACCAGCGCATCGACCCTAGTCTAGCAAACTTATTGATAAACTACTCTAATCTCAAATTTATTCCATTATTTTACTAACCATGTGCACATGGATATTATACATATAGGAAGTTCTTCCCATTCATATATTCTCAGAGATGTTTTTTTTTAATTTTTACGCTTAGCACCGTCACTTGGGTAGATAGTTACTTCAGAGAATAAGCCAATTAACGCTATTTATTACTCCTAAGCTGAATCGCATAGTTATAAAATTATTTTTAATTAACACAAACCGGTTTTTGTTGTGTGTTTTTATTCGGCAAACCTATTAAAAATCTAAAAAATAACTTTTATTATCTAATATGATAACAATATTCATATTATTTGAAATAAAAATTGAAAAAGTAAAAAACTTTTAGGTACCTACTGTTTTAAAAGTACACGATCTTCTGTACACACTACACAGGTCACAGTGGTTCACAGCAAAAATGCAGAATAATGTTTCGTTTCTGAGGTTCCTACTCTTATCGGTAATTTATCTATTCGTATCACTATTGGTTCGATAACTTATGAAAGTGCGTTTCCGAACATCGCAATGTAAAATAAACTCCGTTTAAGCTAAGTTTAATTAAACTGACCAATCTGTGCCATTTATCTTACTACTTTATGTGACTTTTAATTTACGAAGAAACTACATCAACTTTTAGGTTATAAAGTATTATTATTAAAAATAAATTGCCAGTGAGCGCTAAATAGGTACTAAAATTTTCAAGGGATAAAATAATTAATAGATGTGCAATGAATACGAGTAGCTCTTCGGAATCTGATTTGGAAGTACTGAAGTTTATTTCTAATATATCAGTACCCAGAAACTTAAGACGTAGTAGAAATCCTTTCGAAATATTTACGGATGAAGAATTCCAACTGAGATATCGCTTTGATTAGACGACTGTGATACACCTAAGTGATATCATCGCATGCATCGCAAATATACATTGTCTATTTTACAACAAATTTTCATAGCACTACGATTTTATGCTACACACACTACAGTATATTACTATTTTTTTACTAATTAGTAAAAAAATAGTAATTGGCAAAACTACTGTATCCAGAGTGGTGCATAAAGTAAGCAAGGAAATAGCAAAGCTAGCTAGGAGTTATATAAGTATGCCAAATGCTGTAGACCTGAGAGAAATAAAGGCACAATTTTTTAATATCACAGGATTATCAAACGTAATTGGTTGTGTAGACGGACCATACATACATATTCAATAGTAGTTACGTTGTACCAGTTCTGGCGCACTGAGTCAGAAGTGGTACAAGTACGACGTTCGTCGACTCACGATCCTTAAAAAAAAAAGTTTTGGCATGCTCTGATCACGAATCTGCGGTCCATTTTTGCGTAGGATACACGGTTCCGGAGATGTGCAAATCAATTAACTCTTATCTAGTTGATATCCGGTGTAGGCCTCAACCGTCATTAGCGCTCCATTATCCTTATCTACTTATCTATTGTTCGTTCAATACCGTCATTATCTAATATTCGTCAGCGTGTTGTACGGCTTATGCTATTATATTATACTCCTTGGTTCCTATCTACAACGGTAATCTGAATCATCAATAAAATACGTTACCTAATTTTTACTTAAAAATCTTATTACTTATTATCTATAAAATAGGAGCGAAACATCTCATCCACTAAAATATAGTTGTACAATGTGTTCCCTGTAAATATACTCGTAAAACTATGCATTGAACATCCCTGAAACTTATATAGCAAATACATTAAGCAATATTCGCCACAAACTGAAGTCCACTCATTCTGAATCCTATCAACATTCCAGTTCCATCTTTTACAATTTCTTTTTAAAAAACTCTAGATGACATCGTACAGGTGTCCGTCCATATGAATCAAAATATTGACCGACGTCATTCGTATCGATATATAAAGCTACCCAATGTGACCCTGGTTTATCATCTGTATCCAAATTGCATATTACCTAGTCAGGTCATAAATTCCATCACATGTTTAATATAAAATAATTGAAACAAGTTTATTCATTATGTAACCATTTATATACCAAAATGAACTTAACAAAACATAGATTCTTATGACACTATAGTTTATTTAAAATGACCTCCGTGATTTTGAATACAGGCCTTCAATCTGCGCGGCCAGTCGTCTATCGCAGCCCGAACGAGGTCCATGTCAATATCGGCGGCTGCCTTAATCAAGGATGTCTTGAGTGACTCCAAATTGGGATGAGACTTTGAGCACGCCTTCTCCTCCAAGTGTTGCCATATCTTGTAATCTAACGGATTCAAATCTGGACTGGAGGAGGGCCAGTCTTCATGCCGGATGAAGTCGATTTCACGCGCCGCCAGCCAGTCTTGTGTGCTCTTCGCTCTATGAGCTGACGCCGAATCTTGTTGGAATACCCAGTGCCTGTTATTGAACATGGTATGAGAAACAGGTTACACAAGGTTCGTCAGGACTGTATTTTGATACACAACTACATTCGTTTTTACACCTTTCTCACAAAAATGTACCTTTGTTAAGCCCCAATAAGAAACTCCCAACCATACCATGAGCGAGGATGTAAAATGACCTCGTTGGACACGCGGAATACGGTTGCTCGCTTCTTCACTACTGTGTGCGTACACCTTATCATTTTGTTTGTTGTAGCTCTCTTCTACGGTAAAAATTTTTTCATCCGACAAAAGAATTTCCCGATATTTTTTCCCGCGTACCGCTTCGACAAAGCGCGGCATCTCTTCAGTCTCAGGTCCATTAGACGAGCATTCAAACGATGTCCTGTTTTTCTTCGATATGTCCGAAGCCCTAAGTCTTCATTTAAAACCCTTTTACACCTTATTATTTTGTTTGTTGTAGCTCTCTTCTACGGTAAAAAAATTTTTCATCCGAAAAAAAGAATTTCCCGATATTTTTTCCCGCGTACCGCTTCAACAAAGCGCGACATCTCTTCAGTCTCAGGTCCATTAGACGAGCATTCAAACGATGTCCTGTTTTTTTTCGATATTCTCGAAGCCCTAAGTCTTCATTTAACACCCTTTTCACCGTGGTGGGGCCCAGCGGCGATCGTACCCTGAAATGTTCCATAAACAGGTTTGCAATTCCCTTCGGATCACTAATCCCATCTACTCTGACCGGCAGGCCAGGTTTAATCTCCAGTTTACTAGTGGACTTCCAAAATTTCCCAAAATTTTTATCCGCTCGCAGTTTCGCTATTTTATCCATTTTGATTTGCTCTTGGCTATTTATGCACCATTTGAGTCTACTTTTAAACACCTTGCGTGACTCGCGCATCTGCTCATATATTTCGCCTACAGCGGGTCTATTATATAAAACCCACATTTGAAATTTAAGCCTGGCCTCCCGATGAGCATCCTTCACATTTTTATTCCACCCATATAGGATCTTTTTTCTACAAGGCTTATCAATTTTTACGTAATTTGTTTTAATAGCCGCCATTTTTGGTCAATCACACAATGGTCTAGCCACCTCGTGCCACCATGACACTGGTCTAGAAAGGTATACGTATTTGACCCTAGCATTTGTACATCTGCACATACCCAAGACTGATCCGTGCAGAAACGACTTAGTTCGGTGTAGAAAAGTTCTTCGGGATGTGCATTATAATCTCCTAATATATACATATTCTCCACGTTGTTACTAGCTTCAATTGCACTTATTTCACTTAGTATTTCTGTAAAAATAGGTAAGTTTTTATCCGACTTAGTCGGCATATAAACAGAAAATACCAAGATGGATCTATCCCCTACTACACCCTTGATGGCAACTAGCCGCTTACTAGAACATTCTATAACTGATACACAGTCGAACAAGCCCTTCTTCCAGAGAATAGCTACTCCACCGTATGGTCTCCCCCTCAGAATACCAGAGGAAGTGTCCACAGCAGACTTACCGGTGTACTCAAACTCGTCAGAAACAGTCCCTAATAACGGAATATCATGACTAAGAAGCCAAGTCTCCTGTAGACACACTATACTACCCTTCCTACATAAATTCCGAACATCGTAATCGATGTATTAAAGTTCTTACAGTTATAGCTATACAATCTGCAGTAATTTGTTTTATTTTCACAATACATATTAAAAATTTATTTATGAACTTTATCACTAACCTCCTCACGAACAGATTTGTACCTAAAATGCACAAACCTCCTAAAGGTTATGCCATCTGGCCAGAATTCATCATCTAAAAATAAACTTAATTTATTTTTCGAAACAAATAATTTATACGCATTATATTTTCTTGTAGAATTCATTTTTATCATTTTTAGTGTCACAATTTCATTAGTTTTGTCTTTAATGTAACTAATAATATCTTGTTCACACGCTTCTTTACTAATGTTAGATATAAACAACGGTATTTTGACATCCGCAGCTTTAAACTTCACATCAGGGGCCGTGGACGCTTTGCCTTTCTGACCAATGAGTTTATACCTTTCAGCGGTTTTAGATCTGACAATTTGCCACTCGTTAGTATCCTCTAATACCGTTGTACAGTCTTTTATTCTACTTTTCCCCACATCACTCGATTTACATGCTACCGCCGCCGCATACAAAGAAACAGCTGTTTGATTGTCCGAGGTACGACTCGGCTCGCTGACGTCACCGCCGTCCGCGCAGGTTAAGATATCAACAGGTGTGTACGGAACCGCAGTACTCTGCGTGGCCTCCACGCGCTCCAAGCAATGCTCCGTCTTGCTCCCCTTCCGCTTATTATCGCTTCCCAAATGTTCTTTCCTACACCTCTCACTCACGGCGTTCGGAACCGCAATAGGGGCCTCCACGAGTTGTTGGTGTTCTGTTTCATCTTGTTTACTGCTTTGGAAAGGGACAGCCTCAGTCTCGCTATGATAATGCATCTCTGGCATTCGTGTTGGCCTTGAATGGCCGTTATAATTAATTTTAACAGCTGATTCCTGGGCAGATTTTATAGGCACATATTGGAGTCCCATTGGGCCACTGTTCAGGTCAAAGTTATCACTATTTTGTGTTATTATCACTGTTTTTTATAGAAGAGGGGGCAAACGAGCATGCGGCTCACCTGATGTTAAGTGACTACCGCCGCCCATGATCAACCGCAACACCAGGGGAATTGCAGGTGCGTTGCCGGCCCTTTAGAAAGGGGTACGCTCTTTTCTTGAAGGTCCCCAGGTCGTATCGGTCCGGAAAAATCGCTGGTGGTTAACTATTCCACAGAGAGGTTGTACGCGGAAGAAAACTCCTCTTGAAACGTACAGTGGTGGACCACCAAGCATCCAGATGGTGTTGATGGTATCGGGACGTTTGCCGCGTAGAGCGTTCACAAAATTTGGCGGCTGGAATTAATCCGAACAATTCCTCAGAGCACTCTCCATAGTATATGCGAAAGAAAATGCAAAGAGATGCAACATCTCTTCGCAGTGCCAGTGAATCGAGCCGATCAGTGGCGTAATAATATCAATCAATAATATCAACTAATAAAATAACTCGTAAAATGTTTCAAGCTATTTCAAATTTCCCGCGCACTCCACTGTTCGACACATGTCGACCGATGACCTCGTATTGCCTTAGCGATACTGCTGCTGTCATAAAAAATGAGTTTTAATAGAGCTAATAGTTGTCTCCCTCGCTCGCGTGGGCCTTTTTACGGGGCTTTCGAGAAGACGATCGCTCTCTTTCTAACCTATGGCAAAATATTCTATAATGAAATATAACGACGATTGTATAAATAGCAATTAGTATAGAGATTTAAAGCCAGGCTTTTGGGAATAAATTTGTTAAAAGCGGAGGCGCGCGGGCAATACGTTTGGAAGTTCATTTCATGTTTCAATGTTTATTTACTCTGTATGCTTATCTTAAGCGATTTAATATTACGAGTTCAAAATTTATGCTTTTTTAAAGATTTTTAATGAAAATGGAGGATAATAGTGTTCCTTGTGATGAATTGAAGTGTGTTAAAGTGATAATCGGAGAAGAAATCTTTAAGCTTTGTTGAGATAATACACAAAGTTAAGAGTGTATTTCAGACTTATCAATTATCGCAATTAAAAACAGTTATTGGTACAATTAAAACGTTCACCAACATTTTACGTGGACGTAATTAAACCTTTCCATAAGAAAGCGAGACGATTCCACTTATCTTATATCTTATCCATTAGAATGTAAATAATTTGTTTTTTTTTTTTTAATTTTGTACATAGTTTGTTTGTACTTTGTTCGTGTTTTACTTTTGTTCATGTATTGTATTGGATGTAAATATTTTTTTTCTTTCGCTTAAACAAACCCAAACGGCTTTCTTCAAAGCCACTGAAGCTATGCAATTGCTGATATGTAATACAATCTATCTAGCAGTGGTATGCCTTCTGTGTGCTTTGTTAAACACGTCCTTGACAGCACTGAATATGAAACTGAAGCGTGGAGACAGATCAAGATTGGTGTATTTTTATGAAACTACTAAAAACAACAATCTATATTTTTATCAATTTATATCTTGGGCTTGCCCTAGCTTGGAGCTCTAGCTTCGCCACTGGAACCGATCGGAAAGCACTCGGTCGTCGACGATTCGAGCCGCTCTGCGCTGGTTGCGGTCAAGTGGAAGGAGCTGGTACTGGGGAGCCCCAGCACAGAGATGGGAACAGTATTCCATGTGCGGCCGAACCTGCGTCTTATAAAGTTGCAGGCAGTGTGCCGGCATGCAATACTGTCCCGCTCTGCTGAGCACGCTAAGCTTTTTAGAGGCCAATTTGGCGTTCTCTTCCAAGTGACCACGAAACTGCACGTCACTCGGTATGTCGACGCCGAGGATTCCGATACTGGCTGAGGCAACAAGGGGAGTGCCTTGAAACTGAGGAGATACGACAAAGGGGTTCTTTTTAGCGGTTAACGCGCAAACTTGTGTCTTCTGGGGGTTAAACTGGACTAGATTTAGTCGCCCCCAATCCGAGATTCTATTCAGCAAAGACTCGACTTCAGACACAAGTTTGTCCGGGCACATATTCCCGAGAAATATTGGCTAGGTCGGTGTAAAGAGCATCACCAGTGCTGTCATCTGCATAGCAATGAATGTTACGGGTTTGCAACATATCATTGTTATGCAGAAGAAACAGCGTTGGCAATAGCACGCAGCCTTGTGGAACACCAACATTAATAGGCTTGCAATCGGAGCTTGCACCGTCTACAACAACCTTGATGCACCAATCTGCAAGAAAGCTGGTGATCCAATCGCACAATTTCTCGGGAAGCCCATAGGATGGGAGCTTCGAAAGAAGCGCTTTGTGCCAAACCCGATCGAAGGCCTTCGCATTGTCCAAACTAACGGCCAAAGCCTCCCCCTTGGACTCTACTGCCTCCGCCCATCTTTGAGTTAGGTAGACCAGAAGATCACCAGCTGACCGACCACGGCGAAAACCGTATTGGCGGTCACTAATCAGCTCGTGATCCTCAAGGTACCTCATGAGCTGGCAGTTTAAAATGGACTCCATTGTTTTGGAGAACAAGGAGGTGATGGCGATAGGCCGGTAGTTGGACGGGTCTGAGCGGTCGCCTTTTTTTAGGGATCGGGTGGACGAAAGCCGTCTTCCATGATTTTGGGACTACGCCTAGGGAGTAGGAGTACCGGAAAAGACGCGTTAAAACCGGTGCCAACTCTGGAGCACACGTCCTCAGCACAATTGGGGGATTCCGTCAGGCCCACTCGACTTGTGAATATCCAGGGAGATGAGTGCTTTGCGAACCGAGCGCTGTGTGAACTGCAATTCCGGCATGGAGCACTCACACCGCGGGATGGTCGGCGGCGTACTCCCCCCATCATCGAGAGTCGAGTTGGACGCAAAGAAAGAGCCTAGAAGATCGGCTTTCTCCTTTGCGGTATGAGCCAGTGAGTCGTCCTCCCTGTGCAGAGATGGAAGAGATGGCTGACAGAAATTCCCCGACGCCTTGACGAGAGACCAGAATGCACGGGTTCCAGAAGGAAGGCGAACTAGTTTCTCGCCAATTCCGCCTATGTGCTCTGACTTTGCCCTGGCAATGACTCTTTTGAAGGACCTAGAGGCGGAATTATACTTCTTTTTTAGAGCGCTGGTGTTTACATCCCGGGACGCTGATGCGTCAGGCTTGGTAGCACTCCTGCTTATAGCATGATGCTATTTTACAGGAGCGACCAAACCATGACTGAGATTTGCGCCAATGGGCACCACAGAGGAAGGAATAAAAAGTTCCATACCCTGAAGTACCACATCAGTGACAGACTCCGCAACAACGTTAGGATCGTCCGGCGAGAAGCAAACCCACCCCCAAGGGTAGGATGCAAAGAAAGACCGCATTCCATCCCAATCGGCTGACCTATAGTGCCAAACACGGCGGCAGCCTGCAGAATGCAACTGCGATTTCAGCGTGAGTGGCACCACACTCCGAACAAGACAATGGTCCGAGGAGCCTAAAGAGGCGTCGACGGAAATCTGATATCCGTCCGGGTGAGATGTCAGCAGTTTTATTGCAAAAAAAAGAAAAAAGAAGCCGCGAAAAAACTTGTGACGTTTATGGACCTAATGCACTCTCAGTAAGAGTAGCACAAAGTTGATTCAAGCGATTTCAGTCCGGGAACTCGATGTCAAAGATGTAGAGCGCTCTGGTCACCTTAATACGAATAAAGTCGATGCCATTTTTGAAAGTGGAGCAAGATCGGCATATTAGTAGTTACGACATAGCCGAAGAATTGAACATTGACCAAAAAACAGTTTTGAGCCATTTGAAAAAGTCTGGCTACACACAAAAACACTCGATATTCAGGTACCAGCTCACTGAAAAAAACCTAAGGAATCGTGTACTCATTTGCGATTCTCTATTGAAACGTAATAAAATTGAACCATGTTTTCAAAGATTCATCACCGGTGATGTGCGTGCGACTACGACAAGGTCGTGCGACTACGACAAGATCATGATAAAGATCATGGTCAAAGGGTGCTCAAGTCCACAGACTGTAGCAAAACCCGGATTAACAAGCAAAAAGGTGTTGCTGTGTGTATGGTGAGATTAGAAGGGCATCATTTACTATGAGCTTTTACCGTTGGGCAAAAACATCGATTCGGCTCTCTACTGCCAACAACTAGTAAAACTCAAGCAAGAAATTGAGAAAAAATGGCCGGAATTAATCAACAGAAAAGGAGTGGTATTTCATCATGATAACGACAGACCAGATAGATCTTAAGCCACTCAGCATAAATTGAGAGAGCTTGATTGGGAAGTGTTAATGCATCCACCATATAGTCCTGACTTTGGACCCTATTGATTATAACCTAATTATCAACATGCAACAGTTATCGAACAATCCAAATATATATATATATATATATATATATATATATATATATATATATATATAAACGTAATAAAACTTGAAAATAAAAAGTGTATATTTGATTTGAATTGTTTGCCTAGATTAGTTCCTACGAGTTTTAATAGTTATTATTAATTAATATTCAATATATAATTATTTTAATTCAATGCGGTCGTTATTGGGCCTTCCATTTGGGCCCCCGACAAATTTTGATACAGGGCCCATCTAAGGCACGCTACGCCACTGCGTGGAACTAAGGAACTACTCCTCATTGACGCGGTCATTGGCAAAGTGGTGAATCGCAACCGTTGGAATTTCTTCGCCGCCTGGATAGACTACAGAAAGGCATTTGACCCGGTGCCCCATGGCTAAAGGGGGTCCTCGAGTTGTACAAGATAGACTGTACAGTTAGAGAATTCCTCGAGCAGTGTATGGGGCAGTGGAGTACGATCCTTTGTCGTCTGGGCGAGCGCATGATGGCTGCGGAGAACCACATAAGGATAAGAAGGGGAATCTTCCAGGGCGACTGTCTGAGTCCAATCTGGTTCTGCCTCTCTCTGAACCTTCTCAGTACCTTGCTGGAAGGATCCGGGAAGGGATTTCAGCTACGGAAAGGAGGGACAAAAGTGACCCACCTTT